AGTGAGAAACAGGGAGCACCTCCTCCTCTGCTCAGCGACACTGTCTAGGGTGACTCCCTCCAGGATCTGTCTCAGGGGTGACCCAACTGTATGAGCCCCACCTCCATCTGCTAAGCTCAGGGCAAAGAGAGCTGCTCTGCATATTTTTCATCAAGTCACCAACTGGAGCTTGATGAACTAGATGTCAAAGCTCATGAGCCATGACACAATTGTTGATGTTTGCAAGGGAAAGTAGGTATCTTAATTGTTTATTTTTAATTGATCACTTGATCACTTGAATTCCTGTTAATCATCAGTTTGCTCAAGCGGACACCAGTAATGTCTCCATTTGTCCCTGTTGCGTGCTAGTGTATCCCAATGGCGTCTGTTCATTCTAGAAACACGAAGAGCCTCAAACTGATCGTTCATGATCTTGATGAAGAAGTCTGACCATCTGGTAGGTGGGCGGCCACACGGTCTTTTGACGTCCCGTGGAATCCAGTCAGTAACAGCTCTAGTCCAACGGTCGTCTCTAAATCTCATTACATGTCCAGCCCATCTGATTTTTGACGCATTGACAAACGAGACAGCGTCCCTGATTCTTGATCATCGACAGAGGTCGGAACTCCAGATTCTTTCTCTCATTTGAGTGAACGTGATACTCCAAGCATAGCTCTTTCAATTCCTCTTTGGGAGACTCAAATAGTATTCTCATCCTGTTTGCATAGGGTCCAGGTCTCTGAGGCATATGTTAATGCAGGAAGAACAGTGGAATCAAAGAGATGTGCCCAGAGCCGGAGGTTCTTCGTCCTCTTAGCTATTTCTTTGACGCTCTTGAAGCTTTACAAGCAGCTCTTTTCCTCCCATGCAACTCAGGTGCCAGGTCATTCATCCTGTTGACTTCTCAACCTAGGTGCACATAACTGTTGCATTCAGAGATGGTTGTTCTGTTGAGAGCGAATGGGGCATCAGGAATGAGGCTGTTTCTCATAAACATTGTCTTCATAAGATTCAGCTGTAGTCCGACTTTTCCACACTCACGGTCGAAGTCAGCCAGCATTTGTGCCGCTTGGCTGATGTTTGGTGTTATTAAAACAATGTCATCAGCAAAGCGGAGGTGGTGTAGTTGCCGACCATCTATCTTCACTCCCATTCCTTCCCATTCCAGTCGTCGCATGATGTTCTCGAGGGTGGCCCTGAAGAGTTTCGGTGAAATGGTATCACCTTGCCGAATCCCTCTCTTGACATCAATGATTACTTCTTTGTAGAATGGTGAGATCCTGGTAGTGAATCCATAATACAGCTCACGGAGGATCTTGATGTATTGGGCTTGAACGCCCTGAGTGGCTAGGGCTTCAATGACCGCTTCCATCTCAACAGAATCAAAGGCCTTCTTTAAATCAATGAACGTTAGACAGAGTGGCATCTTGAACTCCCTAGAAACCTCAATGAGCTTGGTTATCATGTGGATATGGTCGATGGTGCTGAGTCCTTTGCGGAACCCAGCTTGCTCGCATGGTTGTCCTTTATCTAGTGTTCTGCCAATCCTATTCAGGATGACTTGAGTGAACTTTTAATTAAAAGTTTCTTTAACCATTTGTTCCTTGCCAGCAAAAACAACAACAAAAAACAAAACAGAGAAAAATCTTCAAATACAATAGAGCCACTAGGAAAAATGAAGTCTTGAAATTCACATATAAGTAAGTGGACATGGAGAGTGTAGCTGAGTGAAATGTGTCAGGAGTTAAAAAGAAAGAAAACCCTGCAGGTTTGGTTTGCATAAGACACTATTGGCATGCTTAACCACCATGACTTTCACACCTGCAAAGAGTCAGGGGCATAGAAATTACTGGAAAATCACTATGGAGATGTAACAAATCTTGTCTGTCACTTTATCATCCTTAGATGTTCCAGAAAATCAGAGTTGCGTAGGCTGTCTCATGCGTTTCTCAGCATCCACATGGCTGAAGGACCACTTTCAACATGGGGCCATTTTTGTTTTGTTTTGTCTTTTGTTTTAGGGCCACACCCGGCAGTGTTCGGGGCTTACTCCTGGCTCTGTGCTCAGGAGTTACTCCTGGTGGGGCTCTGGGAACTACAGGGGGCGTTCCAGGAATCGAAGCCTGGTCAGCTGTGTGCAAGGCATGAGCCCTGGCAAGCTTGGGCCCTGACATGGGACCATTTTAAATCAAATAGTTTTTTAAGTAAGTAAGTAAAGTAAAGGCCCTCCCGTTGATCATCGATTTGCTCGAGCAGGCACAGTAACGTCTCCATTGGAGACTTTGTTGTTACTGTGTCTGGCATATCTAATACTCTCGGTAGCTTGCCGGGCTCTCCGAGAGAGGTGGAGGAATCGAACTCGGGTCGGCCATGTTGGCTGCGTGCAAGGCAAACGCCCTACCCGCTGTGCTATCGCTCCAGCCCCAAATAGTTTTTTAAAATCAAATAATTCTTCTTTTCACGACAATCACGATCACGACCATCCTGTTATTCGTCGATTGCCTCGAGCAGGCCCCAGTAACATCTCCTTCGTCCAAGCCCTGAGATTTTTAGAAAAGTGCCATATTCAAGGCTCTTTCAGAGTTAGGAGAATGAGACCCATCATTGTTACTGGTATTTGGCATATTGGGTATGCCACAGGGAGTTTGCCAGACTCTGCCGTGTGGGCAGGTTACATTTGGTCAAATAATTCTTCTTGATTTTTTGTTTTAGTTTTTGATTTTCAGGCTATACCCAGTGATGCTCAGGCCTTTCTCCTGACTCTGTGCTCAGGAATCATGTCTCTACCACCAGCAGTAGGTAGAAGAGTGATCCCTGAGCACAGAATCAGGAGAAAGGCCACCTGGTAGGCTTGGGGGACCATATGGGATGCTGGGAATCAAACCCAGGTTAATTGTGTGAAAGCAAGCACTCTCCCTGCTGTACTATTGCTATGCGCTCACACAATAACCTTTTTAAGATGGCAGGAGTCCTACCCAGTGTGGTCATGCCAGTATTTTGTTAACTAGGAGGAATTTTTTTTTAAATGAAGCCGCAGAACTAAAATTTACTTCTACTTAAAGATATTGTATGTTTTCTCTGATTTTTGGTATCCACAGCCATGTCTAAAGTGCCTGAGTTAAAAGTCCCTTCATCTTTTTTTGGCATAAACTATGCCCAAGTTTACTTTCTATAGGTCAGAATGAGATCTGAGCCATCTCAATCTGCAGAACTATATAACTTATGTTTTTCCGCCAACCCTTTAGAATGGTGTTGGCAATGATTCAGTCACATTTTCTTCTTCCAGCTTGTTATGATCAAGTATTTTTGGTAAACATTTGAAGTCCATTGTTCTACCCTCCCCAACCCTGAAAGATGATAAAGCCTGACTCTCAGGCTTACTTTTCAGCATTCTGTCACATTTAAATTTACAAACTTACAGTGAGCACAGTGGCCAGAACAAGTTTGGGAAAAACAGAAGAATGACTTGGATAAGCACCGTATTCCCATGGGAAAGTGGGAATAGTATGCTCAGCACTCCCTATTCTCAAGTGATCCCCTGATGAGGGCCATGTGAACATCAGCATCTGCCAGAACAAAACCAGAGAACCTAGTTAATCTGGAACTTGGTCAAGAGCCTTCAATTAGGAGAGCTTCTGATAGCCATATATTTTCATTAATATGCTGGGGAGTAACTTAAAAAATATTCATTTTTTTAGTCATAGTGTGAACCACTCCCTCCACCTCTGTTAAAAAAAGTGGAAAGAACATTGTTTTTAGTGTGAGTCCTAGAGAACCTGTCTTACTGAACATCTGCTGCTCATGTCACAATCAGAGCTTCTGTCTACATCCAGGGTTGGTTCTCAAAAGTGCTTTTCCTGGGGCCACAGTAAATGTACAGTTGGTAGAGCACATGCCTTGTAGGCAGCCAGCCTGGGTTTGATCCCTGGCATCCCAAGGGGTCCCCTGAGCCTGCCAAGAGTGATTCCAGAATACAGAGCCTGGAGTTAGCCCTGAACATCGCTGAATGTGGTACCCAAATCCAACAACACAAAAAGTGCTTTCGCTGGCAATCTAGTTTGTACTCTGGTCCTGTCTTAGTTTGTTTAGTCCTTTATTTTTTCTTTTCCTTGCTTAGGTAGATGGGAAGATACCATGTTAGGGTCTACTCACTGCATTGTCATTAGTTAAAAATGAATAATTTGGATAAAATTTAATGAGCTCTTGTTTCATCCATACATGCTAGAGGTCCTAAACATATTCTTCAGTGTTTTGAGTTTTTTTTCTTCTCCTGGCTAATGATATCAATCATTTATGGTGTGTCCAGAATATTTTTGAAAAATAGATATTACAGATACTATGTTGATAGATTTGGGAAATTTTAGCAGTGAGAGGACATTGTAAAGGCAAAGTAGGGCAAAAGAATAACCAAGGAATTGGGGCTGGAGTGATAGTACAGCAGTTAGGGTATTTGTCATGCATGAGGCTGACCCAGGTTCCCATCCCTAGCATCCCATATGGTCTCTTGAGCACCAACAGGAGTGGTTTCTGAGTACAGAGCCATGAATAACCCCCAAGCATCTCTGGGGGTGGCCCCCAAACCAAACCAAAACAACAAAAATAATCCAGGAGAAGAGAAAAAGACCCAGGGAAACATTGAAAAATTTCTCTCTTTATATAATGGTAACATACACCCAGGAAGAAATGAATACAGAGAGAAACAGAGCCAGAAAAAAGCAGCAAGAAATGTAGAATTCAGGGAGAAAAAGTAAGAGAAGCTGACAAATATAGAATTCAGAGAGAGAGAGAGAAAGAAAGAAGCTTCTAGAGAGACAGGGTTTGGCTCTGTTGCTGCCCAGTTTGCTAGGCTGGTATGCCCATGTGGAGGCAGAGACCTGAGGGGAAATCGTGGCTCTATCCAGCAAAAGGCACGAACCTGGCATCCACGCCTGAGCATTCACAAGGTGGCCCGGGACCTTGGGTTCTGGCTCTTGCATACACTTTTCAGCTCTTAATGTACCTCCCTTTCTTCTGGGCTGCAGGAAGGTACTGAAGGAAATCTCCGTGGGCGAGCTCAATCCCAATGAGACTGTGCAGGCCACACTGGAGGCCCAACTGCTCGCCAAGCTGGACCACCCAGCCATTGTCAAGTTCCATGCCAGCTTCGTGGAGCGAGAGAACTTCTGCATTATCACAGAGTACTGTGAGGTGAGGCCAAATTTCCTTAGTTTTTGGATCTTAATAAAATTCAGTTCACGGTCAAACATCTGTTGTAAGGTGACATTGCAAAGTGTCAGAGAGCAAGTCTTGGACTGAACTCTGGCTGGTCATGTCTGCATTTTGGAGTAAACATGAAATGGGGCTCAGTGATCTCAGCTCTTCCCTTCCCTTCCCTTCCCTTCCCTTCCCTTCCCTTCCCTTCCCTTCCCTTCCTCCCTCTCTCCTTCCACCTTTCTTCCTCCCTCCCTCTCTCCTTCCTTCCTTCCTTCCTTCCTTCCTTCCTTCCTTCCTTCCTTCCTTCCTTCCTTCCTTTCTCTCTCTCTTTCATCTTTTTTATGTTTTGAGCCATACCTGGTGATGCTCAGGGCTTACTCTTGTCTCTGCCATCAGGAGTCACTCTTGACAGTGCTTGAGGGACCATCTTGGATGCCAAGGACCCGGACCTGAGTTGGTCGCACGCAAGGCCAGGGCCTTACCTGCTGTAGTACTATTCAGGGTCCTCAATGAACTCATCTCTAAAGAAGGGTTCCTGCAGATCACAGACTCAGAGTGGATCTATTTTAAAGAGGAATTGCTTTGTGATACTTGATGATGATGATATTGATGATGATGATATTGATAATGATGATGATGATGATGATGATGATGATGATGATTTTTGGAGAAGGGTGGGGGATTCCCAATGCGCTTAGACTTTCACACCTTTGGCAGAGGTGAGGACACAGGTCCAAGCCTTGAATTCCTTGTTCAGTTCTTGAATTCTGTGTCTTCAGGCTTTTTTTTGTGTGTGTGTCCATCTTACCTCCTGCTTGTTCTTCATGACTTCAGGTTTTCCCATTTTCCCTGCCCTCCAACTTCCCTTCCAGCATCTGTGGTGCATTGGACTGAGCCCTATGTGTATCTGAACTTCCGGGGTCACTGTCACATGAAGCAGAGAGGCAGAGGTGGACGAGGGGCATGGCAAGGCTTGGGGTAGGAGGAAATTACCTGACAATGGTCCTCTTCAGAGTAGCTTTCAGCATGTCCCTCACCAATGTCTGTTGGGAGAACGATGCATTCATTTGATGTATTCAAAAATGCCATTCTCGTCATACTTCAGAGTGATTTTTTCTGATTCTCTCTGGGGCATGGGACTGAGGCTGGCAACTTAAAGGAGGCTTTTTAGTGCACAGGCTAGCCTATTGGGTCAAAACCTTTTGAGTACCCAAGGATGATATGTATGTGAGAGAGGCAGAGAATAAAAAGACAGGAGTTGTTCAAAACTTTGCACATTTGGTGGTGTATCTGCCAAAGTGACACCAAGGGCCCACTTTACACCATCAGAGAGAGATTCCACATCCTGGCCAACTCTTCTCAGCCAACCTTCCCTTCTCTTCCTTGCAAGCACTTTTCATCCAAGTCTCTCCGCTCCTCTGCTTAAAAAAAAAAAAGTGGAGTAGAAAAGAAAAAGTACCAGGGCAGGATAGTTCTCCTTCATCCAATGGATTGTTGAGAAAATCAATGGAATGATAAGGGTGGTAATATTGAGACTGGGGAGTGTGTGGCTAATCCATGTCAACTCATAGGTGTTTCTGTAAATTGCTACCCCATGATTCATCGGCTCCCATTGAATCCCCATTCCTTTTGCCCCATTCCGATAGTAACACCCTCTTGCTTGGGAAACAACTGACTCCTACTGCTTCTGATTATTACTGCTACTCTAGTGCCACTTTTGGTACATTGAACTTTCCAGATTCCTCTTTGTTCTTAAAACATAATTCAGTGCAGTATTTGCCAGAAAAGACTGTGAGGGTGTGGAAGTGCTATATTTTTGCTTCCCACCCAGCCTCACGGGACTCGAGCAGCTAATGGGTGGCTCATGGGATTGAGGAACTGGAGGTTACATTTTACTGGCTAATATGACCATCATGTTGGACAGGTCTGGGTTACAACTTAGGACTTTCTTTTCCTGCATTGACTTTTGAATGTGGGTACAATTTTAAACTACCAGAAAAATTATAGGAGAGAGGAGAGACATAATTGATTCTCACATACCCTTTGTCCAGATTTTCTAATGGTAATCCTTTTTTTTTTTTTAATTTGGGGAGGGGGGTGGGGCTTGGGCCACACCTGGTAATGCTCAGGGCTTATTTCTGGCTCTGTGCTCAGGGTTCATTCTTGGTAGTGCTTGGTGGACCTTATTCAATGCCTAAGGGGGATTGAACTGGGGTCAGCTGCATGCAAGGCAAGCATCTTAATTCCTGTACTATCTGTCTGGCTCTCCTGTTGGTGATATTTTATGCATTTACTTTATCACTGTATTTATTCCTTCTTTTTTTTTCCCCCGAGCCACTTGAGAGTAAATTGCAGACATAATTCCCAGTTGTTCCTAAGTAAGAAAGCATTTCCTAACGCCAAGGATATTTTCTTTCTTATCCACACTAGGATGATCCAACTTAGGAAATCACTGTGAGTGCCACTGCTAGGATGCGATCCATGGTTCTCAGGGTGTGATCACAGACTGGCAACCTTTACAGAGCTTGGCAGCTTTTTGGAAGGTGATGCCCAACCTCCACTCCAGCCGCACTGACTCAGACATTCTGCCTTTGGGCAAGGGTGCCAGGCAAGAATCACACATCTTCTCCATAGTCCGGAATCAAAGTCAGTCCATTCTTCCCAGTTTTGTCCTTAAAATAAATAGAACTGTAGCACTGCCCTCCCATTGTTCATCGATTTGCTCGAGTGGGCCCAGTAATATCCCCATTGTGAGACTTCTTGTTACTGTGTTTGGCATATTGAATATGTTACCAGTAGCTTGACAGACTTTGCCGAGCGGGTGAGATACTCTCAGTAGCTTTTGGGCTCTTCGAGAGGGGCAGAGGACTCAAACCCAGGTCAGCCAGGTTGGTTGTGTGCAAGGCAAACGCCCTACCCGCTGTGCTATCCTCCAGCCCAAAATAAATAAATAAATAAATAAATAAATAAATAAAACCACTCCCATGACACTGTTTTTTTTGTTGTTCCCCCCCACCCTCACATGAATACAGCATTCCTTTGTCAATGATGCCTGTTTTCAGGGCTGAGTTAGTTGCCTTGGTTGCTATGGTGATGGCCCCTGACAGGGCCAAGGGAACAACAGCAGGGATTCTAGGCTCAACAGACAGGCTGAGCCTCAGGCATGCTAGAGATATTTCTCGTCTGCAGATGCAGCTGTGCTCCTAATGCACACAAGCCTGATGTTTTCCTAGCTTGAAAGTAGAGTTGTGTCGGATAGGGCAGACAACCAAGCTTCACCTCCCATGAAAATGTTGACATTGCAATGACTGCTTTCTCCATTTTAATTTTCTTCTGAAGTTTAATTTTGGGCCTTGCAAATTGAAACTTGTAAGTATGTTCATGAGGCAGGTATACCCACCACCTAACCCTTGGGAAGCGTCACGTCAGATTATTAGGTTAAAAGTAAATACCTCAACTTTCTCAGCTGTCTGACAGTAGTTGACAGTTTTCTTCTCTTCTCTTCTGTCTTCTCTTCTTTTCAAGCACGAGTCCACAGGGCTAAAAGTGAAAAAGCACTGATGTAGTGCAGTGGATTTTGGCCACCATTGTACATACTGGTGTCCAAACCAGGATTTGCCATCCTCCGAGTGTCCAAAGGTTGAGAACTCCAGTCTAACAAGATCTTTAATGGGCAGTTAGTTTCCATCAAGGTGACAGGGACATTTCAACTTTGGGCATCTTCTCTTGTCCTCTGCTCAGGGAAAGAAAGCCACACTCTTCTCCTTGTTCATCCTCTATGTCCCCAAGTTTGTTTCTGTAATGGGGCCGCTGCCTTTCCAGAATGTTCTTCCTCCATCCCCACATTCATCCCACCCTCCCAGGCTGGACTGAAGTGCTCTTTCCTCTATCAACACCCCATTACTCTCTTGGCTGGAAATTGCTTCCCTCCTGATCCCCACAACTTTCATGCCTTTCACCTCTCATGGTGCTCATTGTATCCACCTTCTCACTCTCAGCATGTAGGACTGACATTCTTTTGACTCATTTTTGTCTCACATCATGAACCATGTAGTGAGCCAGAAATCAATCAAGGCCCATGAACAGCATGTTTTACCTTCTCTTGGACTAATTCTTGATTTCTTGTTACCAGCTGCCTCCCACCTCATTTCTGTCAAGCACTGGTGGTAAAAGATGAACTATCGGATCCTTGTACCTGTCATATATGTCATGTGCACATTCCCTTTTCATGTTTGACTCGTCCTCCTAACATGAGCTCTAGAGACCTCTGAGGCACTGCCTGGAGGTTTTACACTGGGGGAAGATGAAGCCTCCTGGAAATCTTAAATGAGTTGATTCGACAGGGAATAGCTGAGATCACATCATCTTGGGAAAGAGGAACCATCTGACAGAGGAAAAGGAAAAGTCTGACTTGTCTGTTTTCTGCTCACCAGCATTAGGAGAACCACAGAAAAACTATGTGGGCATGAAGATGCTGCTCAGCTATGCTGGTCTGGTGGGATCGTCTGGAAAACTCCAAACAATCCCAAGGCCCAAGGCCTCATTTAATGGCTCTGGATTGGGGTCCATCAGCAAGAGTTTGTTGGGCTCTCCGGGGCTGAGAACTATGGGGTAGGGTGGGGTAGCAAGAAGAGAGCATAATTAGGGAAGAATCAGAAAGGCAGAGTCCTAAGACCACCAACGTGGGGCGCTAAGCAGAGAGGAGAGTGGGGATATCTAGCCACGATGGTGGTTCTCGCGAGGGACTCCATGTGTGGTGCTGTGATTCATGAAAATGACCCAGTTTGTTCTTTTCCTCCCCATATCCTGAGCCATCCTTTGGTGTCTACTCAGCTTCCCTCCCATGCTGGACAGGTTCTCACAGGGAAACTCCTGCTAATCAACCCAGCAGGAGCTCCCTGTCACCATGCTTATTCTAGTCCTCCAGGAGGAGTAAACGTGCATTCCACATTAGTTGATGCCTCCTTAAAAGGTGGAGGTTCACAAAGGCCATT